GTTAATAAATAAAACTTGAGTACATTTTAAAGGGTTGCACACATTCATGTCATGCCATGCTTTAAAAATAGTCACCAACCATTAGTACAAATTTAATGCCTAACAACAAAACAAGAAGAACTAGCACCTATAGTGATAATAAAATGCATTGTAATATAGGAGGAGGATTTTCACTGGTTAGGATCTGGTGGGTTTGACCACTTGTATTAGATTCTGTCCCCTCATCATAAGTTGAGTCAGCTCTTTAGGTAAATAGTTGAGCACAGAAGACCACATATCGATGAAATATCTCTCATTACTCCTAAGAATTGCCCCAGTCTTTTCATGGGGGAGGACCCTAAATGATTCTCTATACCACTATGTAACGGTCAGTGGTTTATCCTTAATCGAGTTTATCAAAATACATTTCGTAGCCAGTAACAATTTGTCACAAGATTTGAAGTGTGATTGAGTTAGAGTGACTAATTTTGATTGAAGACTAAGTAGGAACAGTCCTGTGTCTCTGCTGACCTTGACACAAAAATGTCACTCAATACTTWAGAAATTGCACCCCAAAATGTTTTGATCAGTTTGCATTTCCAAAAGTAGTGGTAAAAGGTTCCAACCTCTCTTCCACATGTATTGCATGGGGTTGARAACTGGCGATCCATCTTATTCAGAATGAAAGGGGTTATACATGTAGATGGTGCAATATTTTATACTGTGTCTCCCTAAGTCTATTACATATGATGGTTGAGATAACCACCTAAATGTCTTCCTGCCAGTCACCCTCAATATGTGTCTAGGTCTCCCTCCCATTTCCATGCAATGTCCCCAGCATAGTCTGCACTGAGTTAGTAAAGCAATGCATAAAAATAGAAATAGAATGCCTGATGTACTGTATGTTCCAGTCAACAAGGAAAATCTCAATTTCATTGTACATGACCAAGCCAGAGGGAGGGAGAGTTATAGAATCAATGAAATGATGGCTCTGGAGGAAAAGCACAAAATTGTTCTTTGGGAATACCAAATTTTGACTGTTTATTTATTTATCGTTATTTAACCAGRCAAGTCCCGTAAAGATCTCAGATCTCATTTTCAAGGGAGACCTGAAAACCTGCCCAGTGAGAACCACAGAGTCAAAAAACTTTGGAGCAGGGGAACTAAAACCCAGTGCTGTCCTTCCAGGACCGGATTTACCTGATGGATTGGTTCCTTTTGTTGCCTGGAACAGATCGATCAGGTGGGTTTCTGAATTTTATGCATTATTGCAGAAATATTGCCCACCAGTGGTTCAGGGGGCAGGCTGTTATAAAACCCGGTGCTGAGCTTCCAGGACCAGTTTCACCTGACCAAATCTGGTCCTTTTATTGCCTGGAAGTGATCCATCAGGTGGGTTTCTGAATTTTATGCATTTTTGGAGAAATATCGGCCACCAGGGGTTTCTGGCTGAATCCAAGTGGGAGAGCGGGTGCTGGACGTAGGAC